GTGGCTGGTGAGTTTGAACCACTGACCTTATGGTTCAACCCAACCTTGAGGTCCAGTGCTTACCCTATAGTTCCACACTAGGGCTACAAAAGTAGAATGTTGTTGTTGTTCTGAAGTGTCGTCGAGTCAGTTCCAATCCATATCAACCCTGTATAGGGTTTTCAAGGAGCAGCTGTTGAGCTTGAACCACTGACCTTGTAATTTAAATGGCTTTGCAGTCTGGCACATTGACCCACAGCACCACACCAGCACTCCTTACAATGAGAATAGCAGGCTACAAAACAAAACAAAGTTAGAGATTACCAGGGGTAGGAGGGGAGGAAGAGAATTCACTGGTTAGGGGGCAGATACATTTTCACTTGTGTGACTGGCAAGGCAATATACAAGAAGAGGGGTTTTGACAGAAGAATGATAAAGAGAGTGCTTATCCTACATTAATAATAGTATCACAACAAGGTGAATACACAAGTAGGTATGCAAAGGCTAAAGGGGATAGAGGTGGTGGTGGTGTGCCATGGAGTTAGTTCCTATTCATAGCGACCTTCCATAGGGTTTCCGAGGCTGTAAATCTTTATGGGAGCAGAAAGCCTTCTCATTTTCCTGTAGAACGGCTGGTAGTTTGGAACTGCTGACCTTGAGGGTAACAGCCTGACTCGTAACCACTGCACTACTATTAAAGGGGATAGAGGTAAATGATATTACATACACAACTTTGGAACAATACTATTTGAGGGTAGATACATGAACAGATGCATAGGCTGAATAGGTTTGGGAGGAACAGTGTGAGTATACCACAAATATCTAAGTTTGAAAGATGATATTTGTACATGGGTACTTAACCTCTGCTGCAAACATAGCTGTGAATGTAGTGGAGCATATAGTGGGCAAAATTATGACGACTTCTAGATACAATTAAACATCTTTTAAGACAATGATTTGTTAGGCCTGGGGACTCAGGACCATAATCTCAGGGGACACCATGATAAATTGGCACCAAGACAATGGTCTACATCCTACTTTGATGAGTACCATCTGGGATCTTAAAGCTCATAAGCAGCAATTTTAGGTGAAACTGTTGATCTCTATGTGTGGAATAAAGAAAAGTAATAAGAATTGAAGATGCTTGTAATTAATAAATCCAGTGGACTAATGTAACATGTGAACACCAGTCTCTGAGACCAGAAGAACTAGAACTAGATGGTATCCAGCTACCAGTACCAACTGGTCTGAAAGGTATCACATTATAAATTCCCAGATGGAGTGGGTGAATATGTAGACCAAAGCTCAAAATCAAAAATATATTGCATTAGGCAAATCTGCTGCACAAGACCTTTTTAAAGTGTTGAAAGCCAAAGATGTCATTTTGATGAATAAGGTGCACCTGACCCAAGCCAGAGCATTTACAATAACCTAATATGTATGCGAAAGCTGGACAGTGAATAAAGAAGATGGTAGAAGAATTGATACTTTTGAGTTAGGGTGTTGGAGAAAAATATTGAAAGTGCCATGATCTGCCAAAAGAACCAACAGATCCATATTGGAAGAAGTACAGCCAGAGTGCTCCTTAGAGG